AATTAAATTATATATTATTCAATGGCTTTTTGTTGCTGTTTTTGGTAATTTAGAATCTGAGACTTAAATTTCTCTGAAGCTCTTTATATTCAGTGTTCAAAGTATCTCTTCTGGAAGGACACCTAAAAAATAAAAAATGTGCAACTTACCCAATATCATCACAATGACACTCAGACATCAAATGCAGGTGGCGTGGAGGTTTAGTGTGGAGCTTTCTGATTGTGGAAATCTCTTAGAAAAGAGGTCATTTAAATAATACGGCTACATGGCTTAACTTTTTTTTTTTTCACATCACTTTGTAATTTCTCTTCATTTGCTGGAATTTAAAGGACAAACATAATGATCAACCATGGTTTGATTTTTTTTTTTTTTTACCACTTAACACAAAAACATCCCCAATGACACCTTTGAGGATGAAGTAATTAAATCTTTTGCATCAACCCAGTTAACAGTGGCTGCTAGTTTAACTAGGGAAGCTAGTCTGGGACCACTTAGAATAAATACTCTTTAAATGTGGTTTCATTCGGAGAAGTGGAGAGTGAAAATATATCAAAAGTAAATCAAAGAAAATAATATTTTAGAAGGAACTGACAAAGTGCCTTAAATGATATTAGTCGGGAGGATTGATCATCTTTTTGTTTTAAAGAGGACGGGGGTGAGAAAAAACAAAGCTCCCCATGGCATTCAGCATTATTTTTCTAAAGAGAGAGTTTTGATCTCCAAATCGGCTAAAGAATAACTCCAGGCAAACAGATAAATATACAATTGAAATACATACAGTCATGGCCAAATTTATTGGCAACCCTTGACTGAAAAATCAGTGTTTTGGCACACAAAAAAAGGTATTGCATTAATCATTCACATGTTTTGCTTACACATGTTTATTAAAGAGGCCTTTGTATGTATTGGAACAAATATAAAACAGAGGCATAAAAGCAATATATGACATAATCTTTTCTGTGCACACAAAAACCCCAAAAATGGGTTGGATTCAAAAGTATTGGCACCCTTAATCTTAATATTTGGTTGCACATCCTTTGGAAAACATAACTGAAAACGTGAAGCTTCCTATAACACAAGTGTCTTGCACCGATCTCACCGGGTATTTTGGACCACTTTTCCTTTGCAAAGGCTCCAGTTCAGTCTCTTATTTAGGCTTGCGCACTTTCCCAACAGCTTTTTTAAGATCTCCACCACAGGTGTTCAATCGGATTTAAGATCTGGGCTCATTGCGATGGCCACTTCAGAAATCTCCAGCGCTTCTTTGCCTGCCATTTGCTGAGTGGACTTTTTGACGTATGTTTGGGGTCATTGTCCTGCTGGAAGGTCCAGGATCTTGGACGCAACCCAGCTTTGTGACACTGGGCCCTACAGTGCGACCAAAATCTCCTTTGGTAATCCTCAGATTTCATGATGCCTTGCACACAGTCAAGGCACCCAGTGCCAGAGGCAGCAAAAAAACCCCCCAAACATCATTGAACCTCCACCATATTTTACCGTAGGTACTGTGTTTTGTTCTTTGTAGGCCTCATTCCGTTTTTCGGTAAACAGTTGAATGATGTGCTTTACCGAAAAGCTCTATCTTGGTCTCATCAGTCCACAAGACGTTTTCCCAGAAGGCTTTTGGCTTACTCAAGTACATTTTGGCAAACTGTAGTCTTGCTTTTTTATGTCTCTGTGTCAGCAGTGGGGTCCTCCTGGGTCTCCTGCCATAGCGGAGTTTCATTTCATTTAAATGTCGACGGATAGTTCGCGCTGACACTGATGCTCCCCTGAGCCTGCAGGACAGCTTGACCCATGTCTTTGGAACATGTTTGGGGCTGCTTATCCACCATCCGGACTATTCTGCGTTGCAATTCTTTCATCAATTTTCCTCATCCGTCCACGACCAGGGAGATAGCTACAGTGCCATGGGTTTCTGCAAACTTCTGATAATGTTGCGCACTGTGGACAAAGGCAAATCTATGTTCTCTGGAGATGGACTTGTAACCTTGAGATTGTTGATATTTTGCCACAATTTTGGGTTCTCAGGTCCTCAGACAGTTCTCGTCTCCTCTCTTGTCTGTTGTCCATTCTTAGTGTGGCACAGACAGACACACAATGCAAAGGTTTAGAAGTGAGCTGACGTCTCTCCTTTTTAAAGCTCTGCTTTCAGGTGTGATTTCTATATTGCCCACACCTGTTACTTGCCCCAGGTGAGTTTACAGGAGCATCACATGCTTGTAACATTCTTATTTATCCGCAGTTGTGTCTTTAAGGGTGCCAATACTTTTGTCCAGCCCACATTTTTGGAGGTTTGTGTGACATTATGTCGAATTTGCTTTCTTTCCTCCCTTTTTTTTGTTTTGTCCCAATACACACAAAGGGTAATAAACATGTGTATAGCAAAACATGTGTTAATGCAATACGTTTCGTGAGAAATACATGATTTCCTGGAGAAATTTCAAGGGTGCCAACAATTTCGGCCACAACTGTACATATCTTTGGCAGGTGTAGCACCCTCCTTGTTAGGTTGCTATTAGGTTAGGTAAATGTGTTTTTTTTAGCTCCTCTGTAGCCAGGGGAGCAGGATTTGACTGCTTTTGGCTGTTCTGGGTTCTACTGGCTGCAGGCTCAACTACTTCCCCCTGCATTCCAGCAAGTTTTGGAATATAGAGGGTTGGAGGAAACAGACCCTGGACTGAATATTCATGAATTCTCAGCCAATCTATGGTCAAGAGGGTGACCAGCAGGGGGTTGGGTGTGCATAAATAGCATTGGGCTTAGCCCAGCAGGGTCTTTGCCCTGGTGGAGACAGACCCAGCCTGGAGGGGTTGTGTGCCCTTCTGGAACATCCAGTGGAGCTACAGGTGGTTCAATACAGTCCCAGCTAAGGGAGAGCTAGTTGACCTATTGCTCAAGCTGTCAGTCAGGAGAAAGTCTGCTGAAGATCTGGCCTGGAGGCTCACAGTGCAGGACCTGGCTGTTACTGGAAGGAGGCATGCTTGTATACAGGGACACAGTGAGTAGAGGCTTGAGAGAGAGATCCTCAAGAGACTGTTGCTGCTTGACCTCTTTTTGAGAGACTGTTCCAGATGTGCTGGCTCAAGGCTGTTTCAAGTGTGGGAACCCCCTGAAGTTGTATGTCTGTATCCTCTTTTACTAGAGGACTACCTTGAAGAGGTTAATTCCTACCAGAGAGCATCTTCAGTTCAAGTTTGCACTAGTTTTCTGGAGTATCCCAAGGCTTACCCTATCCAAGCTCTTAAAAAAAAGAAGTAGGGCACTTTTTTCCTCTTTATATTTACCTAGGTGGATGCAGAATCGGTCTGATGCTGCATCTGACCCCCCCACCTCTAAGGGTGAGAACTCAGCAATCATATGACCGCTGATCACATGACCGCTGATGAGTTCTCCTCTCCACTCTGAGCAGAGAGTGGTGACTTTCAGTCACCACTGTCCGCCTAAATACCAGTCACAGGAGTGCAGAACGAACTGCACTCCTGTGATCCATAGAAGTACAGCCAAAAAAACTTTGTCTGTGCATCTCCTTTAAGAATGCTACCCAACGAAAAATATTTTTTGCACCCAACTGAGACACTTAATCCAAACCAGGGATCAAGCATTCCAGTTCTTCATCTGTCACTGCACATACAGTATATCTGCGTACTGATTTTTTTGCTTGAGCTTTTCTCAGAACCTTAATCACCTGCTGTGGCACTGTGGTTCCCAGAGCAAAATGTTTTAGTTCTGGTGTTCACCAGCTGGTGTCTCCCAGCAGCCAGAAGATCCCTGTATCTCAGATTGCAGTCGCCACCTGATGCTGACTGCTGGAAGGGTATTTAGTCCCTCCTCTACAAGTACATCTTGCTTCATTGTTTTCCCCCACTAGCCAGATACTGCTTGCCATTTATCCTGACCCTGCTCCTTATCTTGTTTTTGCCTTTTATCCATATCTTGTACCCTGCTGCCTTGTATCTACTTCCCGCTGATTCCTAATCTTTGTCTTGGTTTCACCTTCCTGACTGTTTTCCTGTGTTCCCCTTTTTGTATATATTATATATACTATATTTGCTAGTATAGCATTTCCTCATTTAGTCTGAGTGCACTTAGATCTTCATATTTGCTGTTTTCTGTTTGCTGGTGTTTGGATGGATTTGGTTTCACTGTAAAAAAATCTTACTTCAAATAAATTGGCCTGGTGTCAGTTTTCTAAGTGTAGCCATGCGTATCTGGTCATTCATGCTGCTGATTCCTGACAGCTGTACTGCTTTGTGTGTCCTCTACTTACCTCTAGCCTGTTCATTGGACAGCATTAGTCAGTATAATCGCTTCTATCCAACATTTGCTCTTTCTCAACGTACCTGTTGGCTGTGCAGTGTTACAGATATAAATCACAAAATGTTACTTATCACAAAAGCTTTACAATTTTTTTTTTGTGCAAAAAGGAGGCTTAGGAAGGTTATGGCTGATGCTATTTATCATTTATGGCTTCAGTGCATTTCTGAATCATAAAGTACTCCAGCTATGTCCTGTCTATGCACACTCCCTCCAGCAACATCTTTTTATAATCGTCCAGTTCCGTTTTCTGATAGTGACAACACTGAACCATGACTGCACCATATGTGTCAGCATGGTCACCTGTGGTCTCAACCAGAGGTGCATGTGACAGTACAAGAGTATTGGGACACAGTTGCAATCTATAACAGGTACCGTATTTTTTGCTCCATAAGACGCACTTTTTTCCCCCCAAAAAAGGGGGTAAAATGTCAGTGCATCTTATGGAGTGAATATAGAGCGGCCGGTCCGGTATTTCCACTGCCGACACCGTGCCAGAATACCGGGCCGGCCGCTCAGCTGTTCTCTGCAGCAGGACCTTACCTTACAGTAGTCTTCCCGCACTGGCATCTTTAGTGTGGGAACCCGGCTGTGACAGCCGGGTGCTCACTGCGCATGAGTGAGAAGCACTGCGCTTTGTGAATGGCCCGGCGTCTTCTGGGACCTGTCATGTGTCCCAGAAGACACCGGGCCATTCACAAATCGCAGTGCTTCTCACGCATGTGTACTGTCTGCAGTCTCTGGTCATCCCCTGTACTGTCTGCAGTCTCTGGTCATCTCCTGTACTATGTCCGCAGTCTCTGGTCATCCCCTGTACTATGTCTGCAGTCTCTGGCCATCTCCTGTAGTATGTCCGCAGTCTCTGGCCATCTCCTGTACTATGTCCACAGTCTCTGGCCATCTCCTGTACTGTGTCCGCAGTCTCTGGTCATCTCCTGTACTGTGTCCGCAGTCTCTGGTCATCTCTTGTACTATGTCCGCAGTCTCTGGTCATCTCTTGTACTATGTCCGCAGTCTCCGGCCATCTGTATTGTGTCCGCAGTCTCTGGTCATCTCCTGTATTATGTCCGCAGTCACTGGTCATCTCTTGTACTACGTCCACAGTCTCTGGTCATCTCCTGTACTACATCCATAGTCTTTGGTCATCCCTTGTACTATGTCTGCAGTCTCTGGTCATCTCCTGTACTGTGTCCGCAGTCTCTGGTCATCTCCTGCACTATGTCCGCAGTCTCTGGTCATCTTCTTACTATGTGCGCAGGTGCGCAGTCTCTGGTCATCTTCTGTACTATGTCCGCAGTCTCTAGTCATCTCCTGTACTCTGTCCGCAGTCTCTGGTCACCTCCTTGTACTCTGTCCGCAGTCTCTGATCATCTCCTGTACTATGTCTGCAGTCTCTGGTCATCTTCTGTACTATGTCCGCAGTCTCTAGTCATCTCCTGTACTCTGTCCGCAGTCTCTGGTCATCTCCTGTACTATGTCTGCAGTCCATTGGCTCAGAATATTTTTTTTCTCCTCTAAATCCTAGGTGCGTCTTATGGTCAGGTGCGTCTTATGGAGTGAAAAATACGGTAGTTCCCTGAACAAGGACTTTCATGGCAGGATCACCAGATATTAAAAAAAAGCTGCAGATTAAAATAAAATAACTTTTGAAATTACATTAACATATTAAAGCTTATACAGTATAAGATTTTAGTGATCAGGTTTACAACACTTAAACCCTCCTCTATGCCCTCTTTACTCCTTTACTTTGTTATTGTATGTATAGCATCACAGTAAAACAGGAAACGTATAGGTCACATCAGCCTTTCTCAACCGTTGTACTCAAGAGGAACACACCTAAAACAATTTTTTAGTCTTGGGGAGCCCTTACTAAAGCCAATGCATTGGATGTCAATGAGGAAAATGTTCTGCACGTTGGTGGTTAGATTGCAGTCCATTGCAGTGGTAATCAAACACCCAACCTTACAGACAGCTAAAAAGACATTTTGGTTCATGCTGCTGGCCTTTCCAAGCAGTGTTGGCACTGGAACTATACAGACACCATCAGCCACAGTTCATGGTACCCCTATCCAGGGGTAGTACAGCCAACCCTCCTTTTCCGGGCTTGGGCCCCATCATTTTAAAAGGAGGGCTTGCTGGGCACCTGCTGAGTAGGAGGGCTGGCTGTACTGCCCTATTACTGACACCAATGCTCTTGTTGGTCCTCTTGTGGCTCCTTTTGCAGCACTGCTGGCTTGGCTTCTCCTCCCCTTTGCTCCCTCCAGCTGTGCTGCAGAGGTATTGGTTCTAGCCTCTGCATCTTCGACCCCCCACCTCTATGATTACCCCCACCCCCTTCTGTCTGGGCCACCCTGTGTACCTCCCTTTCACCTGCTGTCCAGTCCCCCCTCTATCCCTTTTCTCCACCTTGACAGCAGCTGCTGAGGGCACACGGGGAGGGAGCGTCAATTCAGGAAGGAGAGCGGGGGGGATAAATATGTCATATTTACCGGCTTCATTCTTTACTGAATGAACACAGTTTATGATAGGTACAGATCACTGTGTTCATTCTTAAATGAAGCATAATAAACTGTGAGCATTTCCTATTCATTCATCTGTGCAGCTGAGGCTGCAGAAAGGAACTGAAGATTATATGTCCTCATTCCCTTTCTGTCTCAAAAGTGAGACATTGGGGTCTGATTATCTGATTAGAGCCCTAATAATTTCACCAAAGCCCCCCCCCCCCCCCCCCCAACAGGGAAGCTAACAAAAAAAAAAAAAAAATAAGGTTCAAAAAAAAAAAATCTAAACAAACAATAGTTTAAATAATTTAAAAATGACGGACTCGTTCACATTCAGTCAGCATCCAGATCACTCTTCAGAGAGCATTTGACAGGAGATGAGGAGGAATATTGAGTTAGATGATCTGGGAAATTAGCTTTTTTTTTCAGCAAAGCAAATAGAGACATAAACAACAAAAAACTGCTAAAGTGCCTTATCATATGCAGAAATCACAGCAATGTAGGCACATAAAAATGAAAAAAAGGAGGGCCTTTGCTGCAATTTTTGTTTTAAAATAATAAATCTAGGTTCACATCGGTGCTGTGTAATGCAAGCATGTTGATGTGCATTTTTCCATGTGTTAATGTGCGTTGCCTTCAAATGAATGGCCTGCCCACCACAATGCATGGTAATGCTGACAAGATGCATTGGGGTGCCAGTAAGAATCAACGGGATTGCAGCTCAACAGCAAGAAAAAACATCCAGCACTGTGGGATGCAATGGCATGTTCTGTATGTTTCTGCAGTGTAAAGATGTGAACCAAACCATATACAGTTTTCCCAGGACAAACATTTTATCATTTGGACGTGAAAGAAATAACATATTTGAAGACTACTTAACAAGAGATAAGTGGAAACAAATCTATTTTCCAGCATCTCGTAAAGCAAAAAAAAAAATTAACTTCTCTAATTGAGGGAGGTTTAGAGCATTTCTCACTAAGTAATTGCTAACATGTTATAATCATTGAGTGAGTTGGTGTCTGAAATATGAAGAAGTTCCAAAATTAATTGCATAGGCGTATGCAGAATGGTTAGTGTAGGGGTTAAAAAAGGGACATTTTACAATTTGGGATAGAAAAACAACAGTTTTTCTAAAATGTTAGAGGATATTAAAGCGGCATTAAAGTCAAAAACAAAAATGTAATATATTGCAGCTTACTAGTTGTAAGGAAAAATGTCTTATTAACTGGCATCCATTTGTTTAACACCTCCATTTTAGATGTGTGAACAAGTTAGTTTTGTTTTTATATGTCACTTGTTTCATGAATTCAGTTTCCATTCTGTAGAAACATAATTGCCTTATATGGTGGTCTTCAGTCATTTGTGGTCGTTATCTTTCTTGATAAGAGTGCAATATTTCATTGGTCATAATAATATTTCATTGGTCATTCTGAATTTGTAAAAACTGCTAGCACGCATTAAACTTTCAGAGATTTAGCTTGCACACTTCTGTGTCCACAGCTTTATTTCTCCTGAGTTCAGAGGCTGGGAATATCCGAGGACATTTAAAGGGTTATAGACATAAGTAGAATCCTTGTGTCGCAAATGTGCGCAACACACAGTGAAGGATGCAGACTCCATTTTGTTAAGAGTATCCATTTTCTCCCCTCACTCCCTCCTCCTCCCTCTCTGAGAGGAGACATTTGGCCAGCGTGTGTGCTGGTTGTGGGTCACTGGCAGGTCAAGGCATCTCTGAGCTAGGTGCCTAGCTGTCTCTGAAAGCTGTATCATTTCATAACTCGGAAGAGATAAGGCAAGCTTTCTCCAGAGTTGAAGGAGATTCCAACCTCATAAAACTTAACTCAGCGTAGGTGACAGAATCAGATAACCTCGGTTAAAACCATTTTTCCCCTATGTCTCATATCTTGGAATATGAGAGACTTACATAAAAACTGAACATATCGTCAGATGGACGATGAGCAGGGCGAACAGTTTGATGGGTCACTCGCCATGTCTCGGACGCACAGGAAAGCAGAAAAATAGATCCCGTGAACCGTTTAGCATACACACTCTCATAATTCATATCTAATCAATCCTCAGACTTGTCTGCATAATAATCTACCTGCGGGCGGGATGTCACTTGTGCATAGGAAAAGTTATAAGCCAAATATGAGTTATGGGAGATTTTTGCTCTAGTTGAGGCATCCGTCCTAAAGTGCTTGTAAACCTCTGACATCCTTCTGTAGTGTGTTCTTGTCTCTGTTTCTGCTCACTGAAGCACTGGGCTGTGCAGGGAGAGGGAGCGGCTGGCTCAGGCTCTCCGCAGCTCGATGAAAGGATGAGTCAGGTGCCACAACAAACTCTGGGGTGGATCCCGACTTTAAAGTTGTGATCTTCCCCCAGCCTGGACTTGCTGAGTGACAGCAGTCGACAGCGGGCTTCAGCTTGCTGTCAGCTAAACACAGGTCACAAGAGCAAGAGCAAACTGCACTGCTGTGATCTACAAGATAAGTACAGCCAAAAAAGCTTTGGCTGTACTCCATTAAATTAAGCAGGGCAAGTGTGTTTCTTCCAACTCAGTTTCAGCTTTCAAAACCAAGTGTCCTTTACTTCCTTCTTTATATATATATACTATATTGCCAAATGTATTGGGACACCCCTCCAAATCATTGGATTCAGGTGTTTCAATCACCTCCATGGCCACAGGTGTATACAATCAAGCACCTAGGCATGCAGACTGCTTCTACAAACATTTGGCCGAAGTAGAGGCATCAGCCGAGTTGAGGCATCAGGCCGAGTGAAAGAATGGGTCGCTCTCAGGAGCTCAGTGACTCCAAGCGTGGTACCGTGATAGGTTGCCACTGTGCAATAAGACCATCTGTGATATTTCTTTGCTACTTAATATTCCATGGTCAACTGTTAGTGGTATTATAACAAAGTAGAAGCAACTGGGAACAACAGCAGCTCAGCCACATAAAATGACAGAGCAGGGTCAGCGCATGCTGAAGTGCACAGAAGTTGCCAACTGTCTGCAGAGTCACTGTCGCTTCTGGAAGAATGGTCAAACATTCCCATGGACACACTCCTAAACCTTGTGGACAGCCTTCCCAGAAGAGTTGAAGCTGTTATAGCTGCTAAGGGTGGGCCAACTCAATATTGAACCTTACGGACTAAGACTGGGATGCCATTAAAGTGGATACAAAGAAAACAAACAGAAGTCGTACTGGCCCCGGGCATTATCGTAAAAAAAAAATATTTATTGGAAGGATAAAAAGTAAGTATCGTACTCACAATTGACATACAGGTCAAAGGCACATCACACTAAACAGCGTTGTCCAATCCACACTGCATATAAGACCTTAAATGGAACCCTGGATTTCCAACAGGTGTTTTGAGGACTCAACCTCTTCCTCAGAGTCCTTTTGAGGCCTCTTGGGCTCTGAGGAAGAGGCTGAGTCCTCAAAACGTGCTAGCCTGTTTGAAGTCCAAGTCTTTGTATCAGGTGACATTGGACTATCCTGGTCCATTGAGGGCAGCAAGGAGTGCATTTTCCAGGACATCTGAGTTCTTACCATAGCTCTAGCTGAGTCCATCCCCAAGAGCAGGAGTACAGAGCTTGCAGTGTTTTCAATGTCATTAAAGTTCTTGTGCGTGTAAAGGCAGGTGTCCAGGAGTGGATTGACAACTCAGGGGGCAATAGGGGATCGTGGGGCCCCTGTGTCTTTGCCCAAA